ACCTCAAACTTTTTCTTCTTCTTCTTGATGCATTCTCATTATATTCCTATTTTAGATGGTTTCCTATTCGAATTGTTGATCGAGGAGAATGTGTATTTTTGTCATTGTTTGTAGAGACTCTCTAATCAAGGTCACTCAACCTCCCATTTTACCACACTTCAAACCAGTCGACTATGTAGAAGTTTTATCCCAAATTCACGAAGAACTCGAGTTTTGCCCTCCAACCCAAAGGTCATACCTCCATCTTCTGCAGTTTCATGTGTTTAAGGGTCTGGGGGAAGCCAAATTAATGCAGAGAAGCCTTTGTTCTGCGTTCTTGAGAGCTGAAACTGTATACGATAAACTAATCTTTGGGGCATGGTTGAAATATGAGAAGCAAGGCCAAGATTTCATCCTTGACTTGGTGGAATCTTGTGGTAAATGTGCGAACGAGTTGTTTGGGGTGATAGATGTGGCTTCCGAGTTACCTCCCGTGAAATACTCAAACCCTCCTCCTGTATCTCATCGAAATTCCACCACTTCAAGAACAGTGGCATTTCAAATCGGGCATGAAAAAATCTTATGTGACCGTAAAAAGATTGCCACTCTTTCGTCCCCTTTTAGAGCAATGCTAAATGGTTGTTTTAAAGAATCGTATAGTGATGAAATAGATTTGTCCGAAAATGGCATTTCTCCAATGGCTTTTAAGCTGATAAGTGAATTTACCTTCACGAACACACTGGACATAGAAGTAACCTCAGACCTTTTGTTAGAAATATTGGTGTTTTCCAATAAGTTTTGTTGCGAAGGCCTCAAGGACACTTGTGATAGGAAGCTGTCTTCTCTGGTATCTTCTAGAAGGGACGCCGTGGACCTAATGGAGTGGGCCCTTCAAGAGGATGCCCCCGTCCTTGCTGCATCATGTTTGCAGGTCATCCTCCGCGACCTACCCGAGTCTCTGAATGACAGTCGGGTGGTTGAACTTTTAAGCCACACTAATAGTCAACAAAACTCAACAATGGCTGGTCCGGCTGTGTTTTCCCTTTACTGTTTCTTAAGTGAAGTGGCAATAGGGCTTGATCCGAGATCAGACACGGGTGCCCGTTTCTTGAAACGGTTGGTCGACTGCTCGGAAACTGACCGGCAGAAGATGGTGGCTTGTCATCAATTGGGGTGCGTTAGATTCCTTAGAAAAGAATACAATGATGCCGAGGTTCACTTCCAAGCCGCATTTGACGCGGGCCATACTTATTCCATCGTTGGCTTGGCTAGAGTGATGGCTCACATCAAGGGTAGTAAAAGTTTGGCATATGAAAAACTAAGTTCAATAATATCTTCCACAAACGCCCTCGGATGGATGTACCAAGAGAGGTCATTGCATTGTGAAGGAAACGAAAGTTGGGATGATCTGGAGAGAGCGACCGAACTGGACCCGACATTGACTTACCCGTACATGTATCGGGCATCATCCTTCATGAGAAAACAAAATGTCCAAAACGCCCTCACGGAAATCAACCGGGTCATCGGATTCAAACTAGCATTGGAGTGTTTAGAGCTCAGGTTTTGTATCTACCTTGCTGTGGAAGACTACCAATCAGCCTTGTGTGACGTTCAAGCCATCCTTACCCTCTGTCCTGAGTATAGGATGTTCGAAGGGCGGGTCCCGGCATTTCAACTGCGCACGCTCGTGAGAGAACATGTTGAGGACTGGACTGAAGCAGACTGTTGGATGCAACTGTATGAACGGTGGTCATTGGTCGATGATATTGGATCCCTTTCGGTTATATATCAGATGCTTGAGTCTGATTCACCCAAAGGCGTGCTTTACTTCAGACAATCTCTACTCTTGCTCAGGTAATCATCAATTATATATGAACAATAATATTTTGTGACCTTGATTTATCCAACAATTTTAACTTTTTCTTTTTGTCGTGTACATCAGATTGAATTGTCCAGAAGCAGCAATGAGAAGTTTAGAGTTGGCTCGCCGGCATGCATCCAGTGATCATGAACGGCTAGTTTATGAGGGATGGATGTTATACGACACTGGTCATTGCGAAGAAGGCCTGAGAAAAGCAGACGAATCCATACGGATCAAACGGTCTTTCGAAGCATTTTTCTTGAAAGCTTATGCATTGGCTGATTCTAGCCTGGATCCATCCTGTTCTTCAACTGTCATTTCACTACTTGAGGAAGCTTTGAGGTGCCCTTCAGATAGGCTTCGCAAAGGTCAGGTACATTTCATCATCTTCCCTTGGGGGTTTGAGCATAGACACACACAAAAATGTGATCTACAACCATTCTAAAAGAAAGACTATGAATTAAATCTCCTGTCGCCAATTGGTTTTGGGTTGAAACTTGAAATCTCACAATCCTACGTTTGATTGGATTTTGATAGGCACTAAACAATCTGGGCAGTGTTTATGTCGACTGTGAAAATCTAGAGGCTGCAGCTGGTTGCTACACAAGGGCCCTTGAAATCCGACACACCCGGGCCCACCAAGGTCTTGCTCGCGTCCACTTCTTGAGAAATGACAAGACCGCCGCGTACAATGAGATGACCAAACTGATTGAGAACTCCAAGAACAACGCGTCTGCATACGAGAAGAGGTCGGAGTACTGCGAACGAGAGCTCACTATTGCAGATCTTGAGATGGCCACTCGGTTGGACCCTCTTCGGGTTTACCCATACCGATACCGGGCTGCGGGTAAGAAACTTTAGAACCTAGTAACATGTCAGGCAATGCTAGGGGTACAGCAACATGGGGTACCCCATATGTACACCAAGCCAACACAAACACACAGACACAAAATGACACAAATGACAGACACAAAATGTCTGTGTGTGCACACAGACATTGTCTGTTCTGCACACACAGACACAAAATGACAGACACAAAATGTTTGTGCACACACACAGACACAAAATGACAGACACAAAATATCTGTGCACACACACAGACACAAAATGACAATGACAGACATAAAATGTCGGTTGCACACAGACACAAAGTGATAGACACAAAATGTACACAAAATGTCTGTGCTGCATAGACATTTTGTGTCTGTGTGTGTTTGTGTTGGCTTGGTGTACATATGGGGTACCCCATGTTGCTGTACCCCTCGGTTAATTCTAATATGTCCCTTAAAAATAAGGGCATTGTTTGGGTTGAGGCTGAATAGTGAGTTCATTTGGGCAGTGTTGATGGACAACCGGAAGGAGAAGGAAGCCGTTGCTGAACTGACGAGGGCGATCGCGTTCAAAGCGGATCTCCACCTCTTACACCTCAGAGCCGCCTTCCACGAGCACATCGGTGATGTCATCGCTGCATTGCGGGACTGTCGCGCCGCTCTCTCTGTGGACCCAAACCACCAAGAAATGCTGGAACTTCATAGCCGCGTAAGCGCTCAAGAACCTTGAAGGGATCAAGAAAACAACAAAAAACCCGGTAGGGTCCACTGGACAGTGAAGTCTGGGAGTGACGTGTGTACGCAGATATTACCCCATTAAAAGATTGAATCTAATGTCAAAAAGTTGTTAGTTATTTAATTGACAAAATTTTGCCATGTAATGTCAAGAAATTGTACCATATTATTATGAGCCTATTTGGTAGCCATATTCATTTTGGATTATCAGCCTGTGAGGAGATGCATAGGAAATCCTTATTACCGGCCCTGTCTCTACTTACATTATTGTAAAATTTAATTTGAGGAGGAAACAAGAATATTGTTAGTTTTGTTTGACTTCATAGTTCTTTTCTTAATGTTAAATATTGTGAATTAACCTCAAACCAATTGAAAATAACTACTAAAACATTAAAAAAGAAATATAAAAATAGATGGCACCGACCCCAGTTTGTTATCAAAAATTGAGAATTGGAGCAAGAACCGTCGCCTAACGATTTCGGGTGGTTCTGGTTCTGATTCTGGCATTGGTTCGGCATTGGAACCCTTTTTACCCCTACTCTATAATACAGAGTACATCTGTTTTAAGGGCACCGTTTGGCGAGTTTTCGAGGTATATATTAAGGAGTATATAATACTCTTTTGAAATCCAAGAGGAAATAATATGGTTTGTGAATTTAAGTTGTTTGGGAAAAATTAAAATAATGCTTTTGTTCATTATAGGTGGGGGTTGTTAGCGGTGATAGGAGTAGCCAGTGGCAGGGTGTGGTTGTCGTTGAAAAAGCTATCAAACCCCATATTTTTTAAGTTTGTAGAAAGAAGAAAAAAAAGTTTACACAAATACTCTCAGATCGAGACAATTATACAACAATACTTTCAAAATCTTTTTTACACACAATACTCCGGGAAATAACTCGATCTTACACCACTACTTTAGTCTAGCTTGATGAACTTCAAGCTTAATTACGGAAAATTATTTTAGCTAACATGACATTGAAAATATTGAATTTACAACACATCTGAAGTGGTTAAATTAAATTAGACGTCATTTAGGTTTTTTAATGCTTGTAGGGCATTTCTCAATTTGAATTTTTTGAATAACTTAATAAAGAAACCAAAATTGAACCTAGTAAAAGACAAAAGCGTTTGTCTTCAAAAAAATTATAACACGTATTAATAGCTTGTTATGTTCTTCTAATTTGGTTGATCTGATATAATTTTATTAAGATTTGATCCAATCTAATCTGATTGTAGTTATATTTGAAATTGTTTCTAATTTGATACTCCTGAGTATAATTTAAGATATGGTGCGAATCCATTATTTGATACACTGTGAAAAAAATAATTTTACAAAATTGAATCAAATAAAAATAAGTCTACCGGTATCAATGAGGATGTGCAGACTTTGGACTTCTTAAAGCGAGAAAGGCGCGGATGATTTCAAACGGAAAATCTAAACGGAGAAGGCAGATTGGCCTTTTTCTTCGCCCAGTTCCTCCAAGCCTGACCATTTTCCCTCTTCTTCTTCTTCTCTCTGTCTCTCGTCGTCTTCTATGGATAGATTGGCTGCTCCTATAGTTTCTCTGAACAATTAACAGGAGCAATACAGCTGGATCATCTTCCGAACAACATCAAGCAACAAAATCCGCCCGATTGGTTATATCCATCCAAAATAACTATCCGGATCCTGCCGCTCTCGTTCAATTTGTTATTTTCCTTGAATTTCACTGACTGTGTTGATGAGAGGGGTGATGGAGAATAATTAGTTTCTGTTTCTGCTTTGAGCTGGAAGAACCTTCTAGACCTGTCTAGAAGGGATCGGATCTGCTTCCGGCGTTGAACTCGTCGGATGAGAGAGGGCCTTTTATGGTTGGGAAATCGGCTGGGAGGACGATGAAATGGGCGACATTGCTCAAGGACTTTAAGGAAAAGGTCGGCCTCTCTCAGCCTCCTTCTACTGTCTCCTCCCCTACTCATGCTGCCGCTTCGCCTTTCCCCGATCGCTATCCCATTTCTGCCAGCAGCCATCTCGACTTTGCTTCTTCTCCTTCGAGGTACGGTACTTCTCTCTCACAATGCCACTGTTGTTCCCCCATTGACTTGTGCTTTCACTTAGTTGCAGCTAAGTCTCACAACATGAACTGGTATTGGTTGCTCTATGAGAAAAAAACATAACGCGTATTTATGTGACTTCACCACATTGCAATCTTCTTCACTCTCACCTAAGTTTTTATATTTAGGCATGGTTAGTTTGAACAGCTGAGTTAAACCCGCCAGGTCTGGCTGCATATGATGGGATATGTAATCTTTCTTTGTGTGATGCTTCATTCTTGCTGAACTTTTTTCATGCATAGATTTCAAGTTTGAAATTCTGTTCAGTGGGTTCAAAATGGGAAGCAAAAGGTGCATTATGAACAAAGCAACAAACTAAGAACAGAATATGCAGATTTCCTTTCGAATGGGATTTACGCTAAAATAAAATACTGGTAATTAGCAAAATAAAATGTGTGTGAGGACTTACAAAGATAAATCAGTGGTCGAGAGTAAAATTTTCCTGATTTTCATGTAAGCCTATTCATTAGAATATTATGGTTACCTAACCAGCTAACTGACTAATCAAAGATGTAACCTTTTCATTATTACTCTTTAAATATTGTGATTGCTTGGAAGTTGTGGCAGCAAACAAGCTAAGTAACATTTCTCCCAAGTTGTAGATAGCTCTGCAGTATGGTATAAGAAGTCAATTTAGCTGATCAACATTTTACAACTCCCTCAGAAACTTGCATGTTATGTGTCTGCATGTCAACAGTCTTATTGGGCTGATTTTTTAAATCTCTATTCCTTTCTTCATGATAAAAGTTACTTGCAGCATTAAACGGGAGAATAATGAGTTAACCTTTCTTTATTATTTTTATTCCTTTCGCTAATGCAACTGATCTATCATGTTCTTGTCTGTATTGTATTTGTACATTTGTCGAACTCTTGATAGCAGAGACAAACATGAATTGGAATTGGACTTCAAGAGATATTGGGAAGAGTTCCGCTCATCAAGTTTGGAAAAGGTATCTCTAAGTTTGTACAAAGAAAAAGCTTAACTTTCTCGATGAACATATTGGAAGAAGTTACCATCTATACTTCTTTCATTCCTTTTGTAGGAGAAAGAAAAGGCCCTGAATATGACCATTGATGTTTTTTGTAGACTAGTAAGGCAACACACAAATGTAGCTCAGTTAATTACCATGTAAGAGAATATCATCTCTTTCTCTCTCTCTCTCTCTCTCTCTCCTTCTATCTTTCTGCATGTATTATTGGCTCCTTAATGTTTTTTTATTGCGTTATACAAGGGAGCTGATAGTCACACCAAAAATGACGTGTTACTTCTTCTGTTTTAATCTCATGATGAAGACAAGTTGACCACCTGCGAAAACTTTTTGTTTTATAGGTTAGTTGAGACACACATTTTTTCTTTTGTTGTTGGAAGAGCATTTGTAACGGATATTGAGAAGTTGAAACTTAGCAGCAAAACAAGATCTTTGGAAGTAAAGAGTGTCTTGGAATTTTTCTCTGAAATCACTAAGGTTCTTTGATATATTGGCGTTGAAAGTTCTTGATTCCTTCTTTTTGAACTCTCATATATTCTGTATTTTTGTTTGTCAACATGGCATTTGTGATAATATTCATTAAACTACAGGATGGGATCAGCCCTGGTGCAAATTTATTATATGCAGTGGAAGTCCTTGTTTCTGGGGTATATACTCTCTTTAATTCTAGTTTGGAAACAATTGCTTTTTATTCACTTAGCTAGCATACAGCTCAAGTCATGACGATAATGATGACAGTATAGGAATTTCATCTCATTATTTCTTCATATGAAGGTTAAAACGTGAAGTACATCCAGCTTATTTTTTATGCCACTGAAGTCTTGCATATATTTATAATGCTGACCGTAATGGTTTGAAAGCTAGTTGTCAGTTGACGCTAGAAATTTCATGCCATCAACCCAACATAATTGGGTTTGAGGCAGTAATGATGGTGCTTGCAAGCACACAATCAGAGTTATGAACGACCACATCTAGGTTTCGTTCTGAATTGGTTGTTGTGGCATGCACATATCTTTTCAAATATTAATGGATGGTCAATTTTGTACAGCCTATTGATAAACAATCTCTTCTTGATTCCGGGATCTTGTGCTGCCTCATTCATACTCTCAATTCTCTTCTTGGCCCTGACGAGAGTTGCCAAAAACAATCCATGGGCCATAGTACAGAGGAAGATCTAGCAGAGAACTACCCAGAGGATGATGTTGCATCACGTCGTTGGCTTGAGGTAGCTTCCTCCTTGCTTACTCTCTCCTATTTACTGCAAGTATATATAAGGTCAAATTGTTGCACTTTTTTTAGTGCATATTATTATTATTGAAGTTCTTAAGTTGTGATATGTCATATGTGTGTATTTATTTATTTGTTTATGTATTGCATGTTGTTTTTGGGTGTTAGAAGCATACTGTAGAACTGGGTTTTCTGGGGTTAATAATGTAATATGGCTTTGAGACTTTGATCCAGCATACTTTATTCAATGCACAGGACCAATGGTATTATAAAGCAGAGTAAAGAGCATCTCTTTTTTGACATGTAATATGCAGTTAGAATCATAGTGAGCTAGGAAACCATAGTTTTCTTTGCTCATTTGTGTCTTGTAGAACTTGATGTGAGTATTGAAGTTGAGACTGGGTATAGGGTTTTTGGTCCACTGGTGGTGGTGGCAGATAAGTTTGAACTCAGCTTAACATACAAATGAGCAGCCAAAGATTGAAAAGGTGCGGGGTACATAATGGATTTCTAATGATTTGAAGAGGACCCATGTCAAAATAGGGCCATTGATCCTTCTTTCATTTTGGGATTGAGGTTTGCGAGAAATAATTCTGTCGGAATTTAGATCTTTAAATATTATTAGAGTTTGGAAATAACTTTTATTAAAGCAAACATTAACATGTTTAGCATTTCCATAAAATGTAAATGGTTTCCGGAATTTGGATTATAAATTGTGTGCTTGTTTTGCATATGGTAGGTAGAGGGCAGTGTTGTACATATAATGAAGGCAGTGTCTAGCCATCCTTCAGCTGCACAAAGTTTGATAGAGGACAACTCTCTTCAGTCACTCTTTCAAATGGTTGCTATGGGCTCTTTAATTGCCTTTTCTCAATATAAGGAAGGCCTTGTGCGATTGCACACCATTCAGCTCCACAGACATGCGATGCAGGTATTTAGCTTACTGTTTAGTTGATTGAAACTTTTGACCAAAACATGTTTTATATTTGATTCTTGATTCAGATACTTGGTCTTCTCTTGGCCAATGACAATGGCAGCACTGCCAAGTACATTCGCAAGCATCATCTGGTATGTCCTGCTTGATGCATCCTACTTCGTCTCGGGTCATTTAACTAATCTTCATT